GCCAGCACAGAAGCGGTCGGAGGAAAGTGGAATTATAACCCTAAACTATGCCTCCTTGATCGCATTCACCAAAATATCTTTATAGTTTCCATCTAGCTAATTAAAGGAACCATTATCAAGACATCTTAATCGCTTTCAGCATCTTATTATGCACAGCAAAAGAAAATGGGTTTTTTACGCATCTGCTATTGCCTCGGCCTTTTGGTGATCGTATGGTGACCTGTTCATGCCACCTGGGTAAGTAGTCGCCCAGCACTTGCATCGGCTTTAAACAAACCTACTTCTGAACTCGTATATAACATAAAGAAGGGTTAGTTGCTACCCCAAAACGTCATAGAGGGTAGACACCCGCAGCAGATATCCAAATCTTTGAAGACCCCCATCAGAAGCATCATCAAAGCCGTGTCGATTTTAATGCACGACTTCAACCTCAGATTATGCTAGTGGCTTCAAAGGAAACAATGATGGAGTGAAACAGACCAAAATAAGTCACAAAAGGAGCGCCCACTGCATTAAGATGACAAACGGTGCATTGTGACAATTATATGAGGTTTCGGTGCCGCCTTTATGCTGCAAGAAACTGAGCGAAATAAACCAGTTAAATTGTGAGACAGCCTAGGAGTGAAGGAAAGATACTACTTTACACCGCTGCAGATATATGCAAATAATGAAACCCTCACCTCATTCTCACACAAAGCAGTCCAACCTACTTATCCCTTAACAGCTTGGCAAGATTTTAACGGCCAAGCAATCGTAAAATACATTAACTTTTTGCTGTTAATATTTGTAAGAAAACGGGTGAAAGCATGTACAAGACATCAAATCTTGTTAATGAGTTAATCAAATAATGCATTTCGGTTATGATATTGCAAGAGAAAGTCGACAGTCATAAATCTCGGAGAGCTTATTATGGAGTAGCCAGAGGCCATTAGGGAAAAGGGAGAGAAGCGTTGGAGAAATCGCAGCCAAAGGGAATGAATTGCCCAGAACCCTCTTATAGAATAAAAACTGTGTTTAGCCTCCATAGAAGAAAGAAAGCGGAGGAATTCAGAGAGCAATTGACAAAGGAATTGAAGAAATCTATGAAGGAATGGTGTGTAAAAAAGGCAGAAAGCCAAGAACCTCGGACAGTAGCTGACATAAACCGAAAGAGACTATTGTGATATCATTAAAAACGAGAAAAGATTCATCAGGACCTTATCAAGAGCAATTAAATAGTTCCATTTACTTGAGCTTTTCGTAAAGGAAGGCACAAGCCACAAAAAGTCGCTAACGAGGGAGTTAATGGTAGCTATTTATGAGGCATATATGGCAAGCACTACAATAAAGGCAAACAAACTCTCAAGAATCTCATAATAAAATAAAAAATCAACAAGTACTTTAAAACAAACCTCAGACAGCAGTTGACAAAGGAACTGAAGGAGTCTGTAGTTGGGTGCGGGCAAACACTCGAGCTGATCTATGATGGGTTTGAGGTCCTGTCCATCCTCAATAAGGTAACCAGTTGCTTTGAGTCGGTCGTACTGGCGATAGGGAATCACGGGTTCAGGCAACTCACGGAGGTACTGCTTTAGCACTCCTGCGGCTGCGTGAGCGTCGTGTTCGTTGGCACGGAGAATCGGGTCCGGTCGGGCCATATCGTAGGCATCGCAGAGTTCCTCTATCACGTGTCGTGAACCACACTTCCTGTGGAAAGCATAGAGGCAAGGCCGTTTAATTTCACTAATATCAGGCCTACTCATTACAGTGACCGAAGTCGCATCAGCATCTACAAAACGCAATATTAGACGCCTCGATCCCTAAACCCGTTTCTCCTGCTGTAACGGATAACTTTTAATAGATCCGAGCTATGCGCACACCACTGATGCTGTCCTTCAGCCTTCCTTACATCTGTAACGAAGTTGCTCTAGGACTCTTTTCGCTTGTAACTTCTTCTTCCAGGAAAAATCAAATAATATATTGATGGCGACAGTAGTCCCAACATTACCGACTAGATACCGCAGAAGGGCATTCGAGGAGAACCAGTACAAAATGATAAGTGAAATGTTGACAAACTTTGGCCCCCAACCAAATTTCAGGCCAGAACCGAAACGAAAGGATATTTCAATAAGCAGAGAAGCTGCTTACAGAATTGACATTAAAAGGAACTGATCGGTTATCACGATCTGAAGACCCGATATCTACCCACGTCACTCGTACCCATGGAAGGTGCAAGTAGCCCAGATGACCGAATGGTAGGCGTTAAAATGGCAAGATAGCGGAAAGGAGGACTAAATGGGAAACAGCCCCGTGAAGGTATTAATGTTTTTAGATAACTGTTCCTACCGAAATACATTAACCTACGAATTTTGCTCGATTACCTAATCCTAAACAAAGCTAAAAATAGGAATCCTTACGAATGTATTTTGCGAACAGAACATGACAAGCGAGCCCACGAAAACCTACAAGTTACGCTTATCTTTAAATTCAGAAGTCTTCAAATGGCGTGTTTTGTTCCTATCTTGCAGCGTATTTAAATTTACTCGAGGAATTGTAATAGCCAGAGCGGATGGAGGAGCACAGGGAGCGCTCGGGGCGACGTTCAAAAGGGGGGCTAAAAAGCAGAATTATGCTTGTGTAGGCTGCATATAGGCTTCTCCAGTCTTACGAAAATCGGCCTCCAAGTTGGTATCACTAGTAGCCTGGCTGTCGTTTTGGGCATCCAACGAATTTGGTTATCACAGCACCAGCCCAACGTATGACTCTGAGCGTTGCCGGACAGGGAATGGCGATAACAATGCACGTCGAACGCAGAGCTTAAAACAGTAAGTAGGCCACGTAACGAACAAAACAACCCTAAAATATGTGCAATCTCGAGGATGTTGCAGTCCCTATATGCGATGCGTTCATTTGTGATCCTCATGCCTCACACTACCATGGGTGGTGCTGCCAAAGCTAATCTCAAAACGTAGGTTTTGAATACATTTACCAAGGACCGAAATACTTGCGCAGAAAATTATCTAATGTCATCCGTAGAACTTATTTAGGGATCATAGATGAAAGGTGGCAATGTTTAGACATTTACAAACTATTTTATTAGTCTGTAGACGATTTAACAGATTGCAGACATCTCACTAAATGTAGATAGAGGGATAATTTATAACCCTAGTACAGTACACCCCTAAAATGCTACTAAATACAGAAATTTTGAACGAGGAACCGGGAAAGATCCAGATAATAACACATCAAATAAAGGCAAATTGTGAAATCCTATTTCAGCACTGCTGCACGGGATCTATGAAGGCATTCATGTAGTTAAAAGGTCATTGTAAACGTGCCTTTTGAACTGCATCAACATAGTCTGTTACCACCTTCGTTCAGTTTCGACATCTTGAAGAAGAAAAAAGGTCAAGAAGATAACGTCGAAATCTCGAAAAATTGGATTGTGACGCCTTAATCATTTGTTTAACTTCGTTTTTTCTTACGCTCGCACATAAAGCTTCGCGATTATTCTTCCGCTGGGCCTCATGGCCTCCGGGCCACGCCAGTTGGCCCCCATGCACTTCTGTACGTCGGCAATACCTATTCAATTACATTGGTGGCAATGGAAACCGAACTTGATAATATGAGTAAATGCCTTAATTTTTACTCCTGAATGATGAACATTAGCGTGACGGAAGGAGTGGATAGACTGGGATGGGAAAAGGTGACGACCGTTAACAGAAGAGTTGGAAATGACCTCTACCTTTGGCAACCGTCCACTTCCCGTGTTCGGCAGGAAATCTGTTAACAGTTGAAGCAAAGTTAGTCGTAAACCATCTGAAAAGGTTCATTACGGAGCTGTCTACCACACAAGTGTAAACATGTCGATTAAGTAAACAGGCGATACCTCATTCACCTCTCTACTAGTCGGATGAAAGCCATATAGGTATATGGCCGGGCAGCCCTGAAGTGAGAGAAATAGACGAAACCTTATCTTCACAAAACAACTTTACATCCCGTCCTTTTTTCAATGACTGCTTTCAGGCCAGTGTTCCCATAACTAGCGATGGACATCCGAGATGGCCAGGGCATTCCCTCTTCCTCCAGTGCTGTTTTCGATTAAGACTAAACTCCAGATCCAGGAGAAGTGACATTGCAGTCTGATATCTCAATAGCAAGCGAATTCGATGATTAGTGCATTTGGTTACAAAATGTTTTTCTTACAACACGGACTACATCGTGATGGCCAACACGGGAGGATGACCAAGGTGAGCGCCGAGGACGACCCTCAAAAGAAGAGAGGGGCTATGTAATTCTTTGATTACTTCGGTTACGCAAGCACATAAGGCTTCGCCTTTATACTTCTGCTGGGCGAAAATGGCCTCTGGGACATAACAGTAGCTCTCCAGCTCTTCTGTGCGTCGGTAATATATATTCCACCCTAGTATTATGACTTTGTTTGTCTTCAGGAAAGCGTCAAAGTGCAACAAGAATATCTTATCAACAAAGTAAGATTCAGGAGCGATAAGAATTAGAGATACAAAAAATCGGGGTGCCATTATGTAGGAAGCAATATCATTATTAAGATTAAAATCTAGAATTCGACAATGAGTGCCTTTGTTGTATGCTTAAGCAAAAGGGTTCATTAGGCAGATTAAAAATTTCACATCTTAGAACTGTTACATACAGTCTACGGTAATTTCAACAAACATTTTGACTCCACATGAAAAGAATAAAGAGGTAGCAAAGGTATTTAAGATTCTTTTTATCTGGGCACAGCCAAAACATCCCACAAAGTACTTGACGAATCCACTTTTGAGGAGCAAAAAAGTGGAATTTATATGAAGATTCAAAAGTGATAGGGATTCGAAGACCCATTCATAAATGAAAATACGAGAGCTCCGTCATGGAAGAATGGACTGATAAATTCAATGACACAGTCGCTTAGATTGAATCAACATCTAAATGCACCAACTACATGATTGAAAACGTCAAACCTGGCGTCAGTTGTAAGACAATCGGATCTTTTGAGTAAGAACACAATTTAATATTCCAGCAAAAGCCCTGGAAATGTTTTACAATCATGCGATCTCGAAACCAAGGGAGTTGGAAACCAATCAAACAAAGTGTAAAAATAACCATATCACATAGGTGGCATTCATTTTCCATTTCCGACAAATTACATATAAGAAATGCACATTAAATAACCAATAAAAAAAGTGACATTTAAAGAATTCACAAAACAAATTCAACAAACCTGGAAATCTCCATAGTACGTAAAATAGGAAGGAGCGTGGTGTAAACAGCACGTCAAACAAAAAAAAATTGAGGCAACAAATTAAATGTTGCCTTAAGATTAACCTACAACTAAAATTGTAGCTCATTTTGAACACCACATTACATAAAATGGTAAGATCCACATTTCCAACGAAGGACAAATTTACAAGAACCGCAATCTTTGTAGCGCCATTGGAAAATTTATAGGATTTATAGGATTAAGGAGTTGAGAAGAAGGAATAATTAGCTGAACATAGACCATCAAACTATACCACAGTTTTGTAACTTGCGGTTAATTTTTATACTTTGCCTGAATCGGCCCATAGCGATCAAGGCCCTACCTCCGAAAGCCGATGCATCACTGAGCTGTGCAGGACCTTCCGGATCTCAAAGACACGCATGACACCTAGATATCCGCAAGGCAATGGACAGGTGGGAAGGACGAATCTAACCCCGATCGGATTACTTAAGGCTTTCACTAAAGACCCACAACCGGAAGACTAGGTTTAAGCCTAGGAAGAGCCCTCCCCACGTGCGGGACTAGTCCATACATCAATCGGCGTTTCACCACTGAAGATGCTCACAGGTCGGGAAAGGAAAGTACCTTCCGATGTCTTCCTATCAAACACGGAAGTAGCAACCAGCAATATTCCAGAGTACGTACTGCGTGTGAAAGAAGGTACAAAAAAACTATTAACAGCGAACGCAAACGCCTATGACTGTCATATATCTAGCACGATAAATATTACGGCAGACGGACTAACATCTACCCGGAAAGGCGACCTTGTACAAATATACAGGCCAATCCTCCACCTGGAGTACACCGCAAGCTTCGTCGTCCGTGGAGCAAAGATCCATTCCGAGTGGTGAAAGTTCTCTCACCTACAAACTACCTCGTTCGCAACGCACAACTCCGTACTCAGCCAATAAGAGTACAAGATGCAACCATACAAAGGTACACAACCGATCGGATAGGATGAATACCCCTAAAAAAATTATATTTGGAGACTAAACAACAGGAGAGACAATTTCCGAATAATCTTCAACAGTTCCATATCTTCCAAAGGTAAAAATAAGTGCGATAGAATTCTCCAGTCTATAGAAGCTATTCTTTGGAGGTCTTTGAGTTCTGAATATAAACCTTCATTCACTGATGTACATGCCATTATCAGGTAACGGTACCACTCCTGAAATGCATAAGCTCAAGGATTCACCAGTGAAGCAAGAGAAATAGTGCAACATAGACGATTACAATCAGAATAAGGCAGACTACTTTTAGGAGGTAAAGCCCAACCACAAAGTACAGAAGTTACAAACAAAATTAGACAGCTTGCCTAAGTCAAAAATAGAACCACACGTGGCTCGTAAATGCAAAGGGGGGTGGTCGTGTCAGCAAAAAAAATATTTACATTTATTTCAGCAGCTATATGTATTTTTGAAGCCTACTGACCTGTCGAATGATTGGGACGATAAGTGAATAGGAGCGAAAACGTTTTGTCTTCTATGAAGAAATCCGAGTGGGGAATATCGACTAACGCGTTGTTTACATTTATCAGCGGAATAATGACTTAAAGATCAAAGTATGAAGGTAATAATCTAGATATAAGAAAAAGGATAGATTTGCGATAATTAGCAGGGTTCACCCCAAACGCCTGAAATCAACATGCAGCCTGATACATATAAAAGTTTAGAGAGGAAGATCTCTCCAAAATTATGTAGCATGTAACAAACTGATCGACAAATAAAGTGTATTACAAATTGGAGAACACGTAATTGTTATAAACATGTGTCTAATATCCTGCGATTTGGCCAGTATTAACCGATTGTCCTGATGTTAAAAACGGGTTAAATTGAGGAGACAATGAGAGAGAAGTGTTAGAATGAAATGGTTCTAAGAAAAGACCAAGAGGTGGAACACTTACAAACGTCGTAAAATATACACATTCTTTACCACTGCCCAGTACCCCAATTATGATACTTGTTCTATATCACTTTGATGATAAGTGGTTGCACTAGATTGTGCCAAAACCATACTTGCTGAGCTTAAGGTAATAAAATAGATATAGGATATTCGTGGTCAGGCAATAACCCCCTTTTTTCTGGCTTTTCTTATCAAAACAATATATTGTCTGGGGCGGGATGATCGGCTTTCCACTGAGACCCCAGGAGCAAACCGTATTGACCAAATGGAATTTTCTGGTACATTTTGATTCAAACTTGTAGCATAAAGCTCTGCTACCAGTCGCTCAGTCCGCTAAGCAAAGATCTTGGCACGTCCTGGTTTATTGCCTTTGAAGTCAATTAGCAATCCCACAATCATCCAAATTTACCGACTAGCTACTAGTAGAAATGAATAAAACGGGAAATTGAAAAGTTCTCGGCATGAGTTCACACATTCATTAAATCGGTACAAACTGCACAAGAAGTTCCGTACGCTAATTTACAAGTGATACCATTTGGGGAGCAAACATGGTACGCATGTAAATCAAGTTCACACACCCACTTCTTCAAAAAGGCATCCACCGTAAGAAATGCAAGAGGGGAGCGTTGACATACCGAAAAATGCCATCCGTAGTCAGCCCGTACTGTCGGATGAATTCGGCAGTTTTGTAGACAACCCGGGGGACATATTTGGTCTCAGGCGAGGTGTAGGCGAACACTTCGGAGAGATGCGTGCCGAAGAGCCCTGCAAGTGCGTGCAAACGGTATGCGCATAAAACGAGACAATCCTCCTGGTCTACTGCCCTTCGATGCCAAAACAGACAGAATCTCAAACAAAAGAGTCACGTAGGTGGGTTTACTAATGCGTGGAGTTTATGGAAGTTATTCAAAGTTCAAGTAGCAGCTTATGGTCGTCCCAAGTTAGCTGACATCTGCCAATCTTAATTTATAAAATAGGTGTCAAGCGCTCCAGTGTATAATGTTTGTTTAAGTGATGTCATCGTTGTCAACAATCCGTAAGCTGTACTGTACCGCGGGGCTAAACTATCGTTTACTTCAGATGTAAAACCGGAATTTTCATAGTAAATGTGTCAAAAAAGACGGAGATTGAAATTTTTTCTTGAATGCAAATGATCGCACTCCAGAGGAAATCACGTGGAACAAGCTCCCAACTGCAGGGCCTCAGAAACTTGCACGAATGGTCAAAATTCCAGAGTAGCAATTTAGAATCCAGGTACAGAAAGACATTTCCACGGTTCGCGTCATGTTACTTCGGGAACTCACGAAGAATGCAAGCTAGCGAAATTTATGAATAAATGACGTAGGAAGTATTATGGTGAGTGTCTTAGATTTTAACTTCGTCGTGAATGTGGACGATATGGTACTGATGGAAATTGGATTAATTGATAAAAATTTCGGCAAAAATGTAGAGAAATGCCGTTTCTGGTGGAATAGATCATTAAAGACTGAAATATCAGTTTAGAATTCAAACGAGAGTAGAGGATTCTCAAAGTCCCACCGAGTTATCTAGAACAAAATCAAAGCAAACGTAAGTTGACACAATCTAGCCGTATTAATGAATGACAACAGTTGCCAGACACGCCTATGAAGACAGGTACCACATGATAACACTACTTTCGAAATTAACACGCTAACTATGGAATGATTAAAACTTGGCCTCGATGAAGACAAGATAGGGTGACAGAGCAGCAGACGGTTTACTTGAATAATTCTCACTACCTAAACTGTTCAATTTCTGCTGTTTTATCACCATTTTGTTGTCATCCTTACAGTATGCTAATAACAACCGTATGCTCCATAAGGTTTCCTGAAAGAGGCAAACAGAAAAACGGGGAAAATTTTGGCTTTCAAAGACCATCAAAAGTTCAAGTAGTGGTTTATGGTTGCATCAAGCTATTTCCGCAGTGCTTGCTACAATGACACATCGTGACTCGGGGGGACTTAGAATGGATGCTTAGTAAAGCATCGACATATGTCAGTCTTTTGAAAAGATACTCCATCAGAAGTTGCACTCATTTTACATTATTTTAAACCCTACGTCATAAAAAGGCATTCTGAGCTCGTTTACCCTCCATGAATAGAAGCGATTTGACCCCAAATTTGCCGAAGCGTCTTGTCAAATTAGCTGTGCAGTTTTTATCTAAGGTCGACAGTTAGACACACCCCTCCAGAACTACATGGTATAGAACTTGTCGTGCTGAATCACCAGCTAATGAAGCATCATGTCCAGGAAGACCCTCCATTATTAATAACGAGAAATTACGTGTCAAAAATAGCTTCCGATCACGTTTGACGTAATATAGTTTACTCCTGCTTCAACTGTTTGAGAGATGCGGCGAAAGTCAAGCAAATGAGTGCCACATACGTGCACAGATGACCATGACCATCCACTTTCTTTTCATTTCGTTCGCCTTATATAAGTCAGTTACGCATTTTAGATTGTTCACTGCTTGACTGGTGGTGAGAAACACCTTTTTATTATTGGTTCTCCTAAAACGACCCGCTCACCATTCACCCCAATCCTTTAAGGTACCGCCCCACCTCCAAGGAACTATGCATGCCTGGCATGTAGTGCAATGCAGGCGCAATTGTTCACTTTAGATTTTTCACTTACTTTAGTCTCCCAAAAAAGTCACGGCTAGGGTCTAACCGATACAACTCGAACGTGTGAAAAAGAAATTCCTACTTCAGGAATAGTCAAAAGAAAGCCCTGTTTTTACAGGATAACCTAAGACCTCATACTGCGAAACATACCTGTGTAAGGGCCTGTGCCTTGGGATAGGAAGCAGGAGGGAGGAGATGCTGGCTTATCCTTCGTATTCCTCTTATGATGCGGCGTTAGACAATCACACACGAAATAGTAGAAAAATAAAGCTAAGAGGCAAACGGCAGTGGCTATGGCTAGGTTTCTTGCTCCTAGAGACAAGACGCTGTATAGAAGTGGGATTTGAAAGCTTGTTTCTCCTTGGGGAAGGATGGGAGATTAAAACAGAATGCTTGAATATGCCTTCCACGATTGTTTAATCTTTATTACATACAAACCGCATAAACATTTGTATAGTCTTTTACTTCATAAAACGGACTAAAATAAAGCGTAGAAAGAAGGAACCCACGAAATCTAATCACCTCGATTAAAAAACGAGTTAGGTATCTCAATAAACTGCCATTTGTTTCCAGCATAAACAGCTTCTCAAGAGTGAATTCACCAGAGGAGATAAGGAGGTTGATTTCAATGTTTTTCTGAGGGAATGCTAACCAGTTTTGATAGGATTGAATGGAATCTATCTAAAAGACTAATACATTACTTTAAAAAGAAAACTAAAATTGGAGCATGGAGCCAGCCAAGTAGTACCAATCCGACTCCGTCATGGGCGAAAATGACATTTGCAAGTCATGAGATCACGGTAACAGGATCAGATGGAGCGAAAAAAGGCACACCAAGGGCCTCAAACGACGAGAGCAGGTTGGTCACCTTTGGATGTGCGTATGCATGTGTACATGCGTGCATGGGTGTGCATGCGCCTAAGTTCACGCAAAAAAAAATAAGCTAATTGTTGAGCAACCCTGAGCCGAGACGCGTGATGTAGTTTGTTGTGCTGAGCTCTATATGTGCCATGGAGAATGCATTTAAAAGGAATCACAACAGCACCAAAAAACAACGAGTACTGTTAGTGCGGTGCACGTGTGTCATCGTAAACTCATTCTAAAAAGCCACTTCCATACCACAGAAAGTGGAAAAGGGAAGCTCAAACGGGCGCACTATGGCTATCGACTCTAGCTGGCATGACTACACCAGACTTTTCTGGTCTTCATGACTCACTTGGATGATACACCAGTACTATGGATCTTTACGATGATGATAAACCATGTCCGTCATCACAAGTAATCCAAGCATCAAGTCGATGTTCAACGTGTAGCACTTGTTTTCGGATGAACTCCTCCTAAATATAGTTTGTCCGGCCAAGGCCGTGATAATTGAGAACCCTATCAACGACGTAAGTTCGCTGTCCATTTACCTTTCTTGTTGATTAGCTGCGTGACTTTTAGTGAGGAAGACATCAAAGATGATCCCCAGATCAAAAACACAAACCCTTTCAGTCTTACACAATTCGACTTCCACGCTATGGATCCCTGCTTATGGCAGTTCCTACGGCACTAACTCCCCGGCCCTTCCACAAGATGATAAAAAAGCCAGCTGTACAGCGTCTTAATGGATAACTGAGCCTTATAAAAGTTACCAAACCTTAAGCTGGTGCATGCTTTAGGTGTTGGGAAAAAGAGGATAAAACGGTTGGTGTCAAAAGTAATTCATTTTAAACCACAGATAAAGAGTAGTCTATAAAATCAGACTACTGCTAGAGTAAAACTGCTCAAATCAAAGAAATAGGATTTTTATAATGAATATTGTACAAGTAATTCGCTACGGAGGGATTTCGTAAATTCGATTGGCTTTAAAATCAGCCAAGTATACCCAAAAACCCATATTTCCTGAGAATTACTGTTCCGTCCAAATCATAAAATTACTCTCCATTTAGTTTCCTTAAGTGTATTGCATGCTGAGCCCGTTTGCTTCTATTTGGCCCCACTACATAGAGCTAACTAGAACAAAAAAGGAGAGAGAATAATGAACCTACCACCACCAAGTTTGAGGTAGAGCTGTTTCCGGAGAGCCCGAATCCAATCCCTTCGTTCGTCTGCTGATGAAGCACTCAGAACCAACGACTGCTTCTGCTCGGATCCCCAAGTTTTAGCTAAAAAGTAGGGGCCAAAATGCCTAGAGTGTACGAAAAAATACTAGCAAAATTGTAATTCAGCAAGACAGGATACATTAATGCAACGTAATACATTCTAATTAGTTCTGATGAAAGGAACACCACTTTTTCCACCGAAAAACCCACTACCACAACACGTTTTGTCAGTGAAAACAGAGGGCCACCTTTTGTCCCCTACGGGCTGGAACAGAAAACTCCACTTTAGATAAGATTAATGGGCTTCGGACGCCGAATCGGCCGTAATTAATGCAGCCCGAGGGGGGGGGGGGAAGGGGAGGAGACTACAAGGAGGCGAATTCCGTAGTTAAAAATGAATTCATACTAATGAGGTGACAACGATAAGCACTGAGTGCACAAATTTTATGCGGCATGGTGAGAATTACCGAATGAAGAGGAACTTCCGTCTTCACAAAATGTTTTTAGGTACCAAGTGACAAAAATACACACATGTAGGAAACCGTCTGTCATTACTTATCACTATCCCGCTAGATTTCCAGTTCCCCTATAATGTTGGAGAAGTAGATGCAAAAGAAAAGAGTGGTGCAGATGCAAACACCAGTGCCCTTAACCACATAGTAAATGCACTTTTAGCAGCCCTTTAGTTGTGAAAAAATGTGAGGGTAAATGGAATTTCTTAAAAGGTACTGTAAACAGTTCTTAAACTTGTTTAAAATCACATTGTACCCCCTCACGATAGACCTTCAAGGGAATGGTAAATAAGTAAAGGGAGACGATGGTGTAGCAGGCAAACTGTCATGCGAATCAAGACACAAACACGCCGACCCTTTGCCGTGCAACATTTCACCGCTTCCTTAATGTGGTATGACAAGTCTTAGACCCAAAGGTGGCGCAATGAGCAATCAAATTTCAATGCAATTGTTGTACAATGGCATAGGAACAATCCTCGCATGTATATAATTCGCGTGAGTCAAGTGAATAAGGTGTGTCGTTACACAAATGAAAACTTTCCAAGAGACCAAGATCAAATTTAGGGTTCACTAAAAACACAACACATAGACATTGAATCAGCTAATCATTTCAGTCGATTCGAATCCGCTCAGTGTTTACGCGTTTTGCCAGTGTACCAAAATACACATCCGCACACATGCGCATGACTCAGGTGTATCCTGAAGGACATGGCGCAGTATTTCGCAGCAATTTATGATAATCACAAACGAATTCAGGAAGCCCACCCGTCAGGTGAATTAGGTGTCATCAATCACAACTGCTTTGAGGTTTTACAATGTATACCTTCGTAAAATTACAATTAAAGCGATTATGAGGGCAACGACCTCAAAACTGTTAAAAGGTTCAGTCAGCTGTGTTCACTGCAGTGACATGAACCGCAAAGAGGACCAACTGCTTAGTTTGCGCTAAAGTGAATCTGCCAAAAGGGATTCAATCTGCAGGCACAAATAGATGACAGCGCATTCGGCAAAGAGTACACACATCGAGGTGAAATAGTGCAATTCTGCTCCAGATATTATTGATGCCCTGCAGCGGTGGTGAGATTACATCACCAAGATAATGCATATTAATCCTAAGGGATTCCACGTGAGCAATGATGTGAATAAGTTTTTGGAGGGAATGAAAAGAGATTGCTCATACCGCATGCAACTGTGAGAAAAACCAAGACCAGTTACTTAGTCAATTGCTTGAAGGATAGAAAAGTAGTAAAAACAACAAGGGTAGGACTAAAGGGGAAATAACATTATGGTAGGGAACCGTAGGTTTAACGGTATCAAGTTCTATGCGGATATCCACAATCAATACGTGATTAAACGGAACTTAACTAGAGGGGAGTAAATGCTCGACAGTTGCATTTAAAAGCAAAAGCTACATAAGAGACATACACTTTTTAACGATAAAATTGAAAGCTTTATCATCAGCGGTGACGTCCGTCTCACAGGCCACAACCTCCATGATATCAGGGGGACCGATTTCTAGAGCTCCAATGAGTCGTATTTGCTCTGAGTCTGTGTAGTACTCTAAACTGCCCTGACGCAGGACGAAAAAGCGGCGCTTCCATGTGCGAAATTTGCCACCTTGTTTTCGCAACCATCCACAATGCTGAATCTGTATAGCTGAACCATTTGATGTGGGCACACGGACAGAACTCTGGCAAAAGAAGTAAAGCTGAAAACTTCTAATGAAACAAAAACATTAGGTAAAAAAGCAATCTCAAGGACAAGAAAAGCAAAACCAACTTTATTCAAACCAAACTTAAAAATTAGTACCCATTTGGATGAAAATGGTGATTCGCGAGCTCAAGAGGTGTTCCGATAATACATTATGATACACCAAAACGAAGCAAATTTTTGGGAACCAAAGAGCCACCAGCATGACTATGCTACTAGGACTAACCAATGGCTATCGAGATAAAATTTAACGAGAGGACCTAGATCTTCGTTGGAACTAGGACAATTCAACAACAAATTGAAAAATACGGTTTGACATGAAGTCAAACCGAATTTGATCAATTAACCTACTTGTTAAAAATCAACCAATAGGTGTAAAAAACGTCCGCAAAATCTCATTCATCCTTCATTAAGCCATAAGATGATAATAATTAGGTTGTTTGAAATCAAATGAAGTTGAAAGTAAAACATTAAAAGCACAAAGTCTTAAGATAAATGGAATTGTACAACGAAAGCCGAGGAAAAAAAACTATAGAAGCATCTTCTCACTAAAAAATGAACAAAAAAATCTGCGAACAAGTATTCCCGGTAGCTAAAAATATCTGGAAATGCAAGCTAGGCACTGAGTTTGTAGTATCCACAAGGACTCGCATGTGCTATGAGTAAAGAAAGCACAGTTTAAAGCAGAACTAGCTTTTTCAATTTAAGCACGCAACCCCTTACGCTTCTTGAAAATTTCCTGGTCGACATCGTGGAGGACACCCACCGACCAGTAAAAATTGAATGTCCACTATTCAAAAATCATACATCACTTCAAGGTGCTTTGCTGACCTTTCCCAATCAAGTAAGTTAAAACAGGGGGAATAGGTAGCTTTAAATTTGATTTGCGTCAAGTTTAGAGAACTATTCAGCACCGATTTGTTGGATTCGATTTTAAGTCACTAAAGACTCTTTGACCTCTGCACTTTATAAAGTTGCCTTTAAGCATAATGCTAAAGAAGGAAAATCCATGCGTATTAAATTTCAGTTTGTTCGGCATGATTTACATACGAAAAATAGCTCTTTTATAGTGTTTAGGGGTGATACGTTGTTACACATTGCGATGATATGATTTTCTATTATTATTTTGAAAGGTGAAACCTTTCGGATACTTCCAAAATTTTAGATGAACTTCTCTTGGTGGTTGTAATGTGCTGTCTGCTCACCTCTTCTCCTTGGTCTTAATTACCTTAAGCCACTAGGTAAATTTGCCTTCTAGGTTCGACATCTATCCGGCGAATTCCTCGGAAGCAGCGATGGCGCCTACTCCCCTACTGTGGAGCGAGACTCCTCGGTCTCCGCTTCCCGATTCCTAGCGTTCCTAGACAAGCCCGGCTGGTTTACTTTGGACATCTTTATTAAAGACGACAAGATGTATAGGGAAAATACAATATTTAAGAAGGAGGGGAGCCGCAGTCACTGGGTAAGGGAGAGGGCGATCCAGTTACCAGGTTCGAATTTCCCGCTTGCCTCCTCCCTGAAAGGCAAATTCAAACAACAT